ATCCATCAGTATAATCTAGTTGAGATAGACAACAGAAAGCAAACAAAAACAGCACATTTGTGGTCTACCGAAAAACTCGGTAAGTAGCGAGCATCAAGGTCCCATACAATCGCAATATACCTACGTCCCAGTATTTCTGAAGGACAGCCCGCTCAAGGAATGAAAACATGGCAGCAACTTTTTGTCGGTGCATCGCCATCTGGAGTAACATATCTGTGTCCAATAATGTACAATCAACAAATGCAATATTTTGAAATTCAACCTCTTCGGAATGTGCCGCCATGCAAAGCCAAGGTGGATATCTGAGCGACGTGATATCATATCTAAAATGTCATTCTACCTCACGCACATATTGTTTTATTCCATTTCAACATCGGGCATCCTTATCGACAAACTAGTTAGTTGATTTATTCAAGTTTATGTCAAAATGTGCAAAACAAGTTATGCTCTTATATTTCTGTTTGGCATTTGAAGGGTGACATATACAGATTGCCTAGGAAGAACAAGACAATGCATGGCTAAAGACCTGGAACACATTAAACGAAATGATAAAAAATTGCGGGAAGTGGTTGAGAAGAAACGAATGCAGCATGGTAGAGAAGAAGAAATAGCAGCAAAGTCCAATGAAGTTACGGAGAAGAATGAACATGTAGAGGAAGGAGAAGCATTGCCAGAGATGATGTCAGATCAGTTGAGAAACGAGATATTGCGAAAACAGTGGGAGAAAGACGAGGAACGGCTAAAGGACAAGAAGGACGTTCATTATCAGGATGTGCTTTTTGGAGGTAAAATCATTCACCCAGCATGGACATGAATTATCCAACTAAGGCCCGTTTTTTCAACCGCAGATTAACATTCAGGTTAGGTAGCTAAGAATTGGAAATTAACTTTCACTTGCCAATAATTCGTTTTTCCAACTTCTGGTTAACTGAAACGTAATTGTTGATGCGGCAACGCTGCGTCGACCTCTGAACTTTCATGTTTCGTGATACTCTATGTTTGTGTCTCGTGCCATCCATTGACAACCTATGTCACTATCAAGGATATAGGTTAGACAGTGAAGTGTAACTACGTAGTCGTGCCATAAGTTCTGTCCCATGATAAAAATGAAACAAGATAAGATATATTTATATGAAAGATATAATTTATTCGACAACATTTTTAGAATTCATAATCAAACAGTTTTATTCAAAATGTCCCCCCTTGGCCTTCACACACTGCTTCAATCTCGCGGGCCACTCATCTATCACTGCACGCACAGCTTCCAAAGGAATAGCTGCCGCTGATCGGATCAAATCCGCTTTCAGGGACTCGATATTACGGTGGGCTTTGGAGCAGGCCAACTGCTCTAGCAGGTCCCACAACTTGTAGTCTAAAGGATTGAGGTCCGGACTCCCTGAGGGCCAATCTTCCGCAGCAATGAACTCTGGCACATTGCTTTCCAGCCAGCGCTGCGTACTCTTAGCCTTGTGAGCGGGGGCGGAATCCTGCTGGTAGACCCAGTGTTGGTTGGCAAACAATGTACCACTTAAAGGCTTGACGATAGGATCCAGTATGTCGCTCTGATAGTTTGCCGCTTTTGTTTTCACGCCCTGTTTACAGAAATGTTGCTGAGTGACCCCTTCGTAGGACACCCCCCACCAAACCATGACTGACGCAGGGTGGTGGCCTCTCTCAACTCTCGGAATGATCTCCGAAGCTTCCTGTGAACTCCTTGCATACACTTTGTCATTTTGTGGGTTGAATTTTTCTTCTATGGTGAAGATTTTCTCATCCGTGAACAAAATCTTTCGGAATCCCCCAGCTGCGTACCTCTCCAAGAGCTTCTTGGATCTTGTCGCCCTGATGTGTCGCAAGGTGGCCGTAAGTCGCTGGCCCGTACGTCTCCGGTAAGCCCCTAGCCCTAGGTCTTGTTTAATGATGCGCGACATCGTCCGGACAGGAATCTTCATTTCCCTGGATAGGATCTTCTGCTTCCGGAGTGGATTCCTTTGAATCCTGGCTTTTACGGCTTTGATGGCTGCTGGAGTCCTTACTTGACGAGGTCTTCCGCTTCTTGGCCTGTCATCAACAGAGGACGTCTCATTGTACCGCTGAATGGTCCTAGACATAAATTTACGCGATATTTGAAGGCCGCGTAAGAGTTCAAAAATCTGACTAGCACTGAGATTACACTTATGTAAAGCTATCACTGCAATACGGTTCTCTGCCTTGCCCCACTCCATCGTTATGCTTCGAGAGATCAATACAAACTGAGGTATATGTAATTACCCGAAAAGCGCTTAATCAACTGACACCACAATGTAAACAATCGGACAAGTATTAACAGGTCTACACTTGTTTGAAAACGAGGGACAGAACTTATGGCATGACTACGTACAACGTTCTATTCATCCCATGATCTTCTTGTTGAAGTTAACCTTACTACAAACCTGGTGTTGGAAACAGGTTTTTGAAAGGTTAGCAGTAAAATTACAATCACGTACTATTAATAAGCCGGACCTAAAATATTTAGTAATCTCAAAGAAGTATCTATAGTGATAATAGTTTTTCAACAATAGCTCCCAGAGATTTTCAAAAATAAGCTACTTAATCTTGATGTGAATGGCATTTATGCCAGGCCAAAACAAATGGCTGTTTGATCGCACAATTTTTGCTATATCAGACAGGACTATGAAATATGGCATATAAGAGCCTGCATAGGTTTGCGTAAATGCTTTTTGCATAGAGATTGGTATCGTCATACATTCTAATGTACTTTTTCCAAATTTCCACTGTGATACGCTTACAACAGTTCATTTACCCTATCTAGGGGGTCTTTCGAAATATGAGGCAAACATTCAAGAGGTGCTTTTTGGTCGTTTCTACGGACATGAGCATAGTGGAGTAGTTTATTTGCCAATCATCTCGCCATATTTAGGCACTACTGTCCCTTTGGTAGCTGCATTTTGATAAACAATGGATATGTCATCCTTATTATGAGAGACACAGATAGCTTTCAGTTAAGTCTAGTTGCGATCTCAGTAATGATGGCGATGGTGATATGCATTGAAGTTTGAAACGTCCGTACCATAAGGCTATCTTGTTCATTGATGATCTTCTAAATACGGGTTTTTTGAGGATACAGAACGATCAGAAGACTTTATTACCTAGTAAAACTACAGGCATAATTTTTAAATATCCTTCGCGCTTCACACATACATAAGCAATCAGCCACTATGCGCGGACGCTTGTTTATTAACCCATTCTCGGCAAACTTTATTATTTTTTTTTAAGAAATTTTAGCTTTAGCCTAGGCAGCTTGTATGTGGAAAAATAGTAAAAAAAAACTTTTTGAACATTTACAATCGCCACAGGCGAAAAAAAAATGTTCCAAATTTGGAACTTGGCGTCATAAGGGTCTTGTTGGCTAATTATTAAAAATAAACTAAAGTATCCATATAACATTTATTTTTATTTTATACACTACGAAGATGCACTTTGATGAAATATTTTAAAACAATCGAGTGGATGTACATTAATCATACATATACCACAACCAAATGTAGTATTTTTTTTGCAAACTTTCCATCTATTTTGTTTCATGGAGTTTGGGTAGTGCAAAACAGACATATTCTTGGAGACTGCCTCAGGAACCTTTAGAAATATAGCTCCGTCTTGTCTTTGTGCTCTGGGACTCAGAAGTAAATATGTTGATACAATGTATCTGATAAAGCCAAGTAAATCAAGAGAACGAGAACTGTCCATGAATTCATCAGCACTAGATTTCTTTTTTTCTCATCTTTGAGATTCTGTATAAGATCCAAGCATTAGAGACCGAAGCGCATAAAAGATGTATAAAAACTTGCCACCACCATTTATTATTACGCAGTTGCGGGGCGATAATTAGAAATATTTCTATCCATTAAATCTGTACCACCCATATTAGTATGTACTGCTGAATAGCATGAGGCATCTCTACCATAATATATTTTTTGTCAGCAGCAGAATAACGGCGTGCTGCTTTTGTGGGCTGCAAGACAAAGCAGTTTGAAGCAACATGGACTATGGAGTTATCTTTCCATTGCATAACAATAACTTCTTTAGTTGAATTAACGTACGAGTCCATAGAACCCCTATGCGATTTCTTCATTGCAGATTTATTTAGAGGACATTTTTCTAGTCTGTTTTGCCGGATCGTACCTGTGCATCCAAAATCCATTTCACTTAATTTTTTATCAGTGGAAGACCCGTGAAAAAGTTATCTATAACGAAGTTAAATTTTTGATCTGGAAATCGCTGTTTCAATTTTTCTGCAAAGGTGTAAACAACAGATGCTCCTAGGCCAAGGTCACTATCTCCTAATATTGTTCCTTGCCTTGATATGGTTTAGTGTTCACAAGATAAGCGTTTGATACATTTGCAGACCAAAATTTGAACCCATATCTAATAGGCTTTCCTTGAATTCTTTGCTTGCAACTGTGGTGACTATAGTATGGTACCATTGATTCGTCAACAGATATTGATGTGGTTTGAGTAAGAGGGGTATGCTGTAGAAAACAGTGTTTAGGTGGTTGATCAGTGGCCTTACTTTCCCAAATTTGTCATTGGCTGGCAGCTGAGTGTTATTTACCAAGTGCAAATTTCTCAAAATATTTCGGAATTTATTTCTTGACATCCCCTTAGCAACCGCTTCATTGAGAAGATCAGAGTCATACTCCAATACATATCTTTCCTGGGCCTTTTAGAGTAACCAGAAATTAGCAAAATTGAGAAAAAACCTTTAGTTCTTCCACGGTCACAGTAAAAGATGTGTTTGCATTTTTCTGGGTAGCATACAATATATGTAGTTTGTTCTTTTATGTTTTCAAAAAAAGCATCAGTCCAAAATAATTCGAAAATTGAATAGGATTTTCTTTTGAAACCAGTTATTATATGTGTCAGATTCTATTACATTATTCAGATTCACAGAGTTTGGTAAGTCTTGCTGATACCAGTTTTTCCAGTTTTGACTTTGACTTGAATTTTTTGCTTTTGGGTACGTATTTTACTAAAGGCTCATCGTCATCACTGCTGGATTCTTGATGCTGCTTACTGCCATGTGATACAAGAGTAGCTTCAGCTGGTGCACCTAATATTTTTTGAGAAAATTTCTCACAAAAAATCCCCTTCATTTTCATTTCCTGAGGCTTCAGAGTCGCCCTCAGAATCCTCCATTGGTGACTTATAGTATATATATGTTAGCTGATTCAAAGTGCTCTTCATGCAGTTTGTCAATGAGTCGGTTCAAACTGGTTGAACAGGTGGATTTTTTTCGTACAAGGTTTTGCAATCCATAACCTAAAATAAATACAAAAGTGCAATAGAAGTAGCCATGTTCCATTATTGAACATAACAAAATGTGACGATAGAAGGTACAAATGAGAAAAGATACTTATTTTACTCAAACTTACCAATAAAACAATAGCCAGACCTTGCTTCTGTTTATAGAGAACTTCAATTTTTTCAGCAGTTTGTATTGTTTACGCGCCAGTAATAACACAAAAAATTGTTTTAAAAATAAAATAACCTAGCTGCACTGGTATGTTTACTGCCGTAATATAACCTAAAAAGTTTACTGAAAACAGGTGCTCCCGATGCTGTGAATTGCTAACAATGGTTCTGATAATACTTGTGCCTCCATCTATTCAACTACATCCCAAAATATCGCGTGTTCCAATTTTGGAACAATGCTGCGAATGGGTTAAGCTCACAGTCATACATTTTTTAGTTTTGTCTCACTGTCTTTGTCTTTATGCAAAGGGTACTATAATAGTTTTGCAATACAGCTTTACT